AGCAATAGGAATCGTTACACATAATAATCAAAATTAAAAATAAATATTCCTTCTATTCTAATGTAACTTTCAAATTAAAAAAGCAACATTTGAGTGGCACTTTCACCTATAGGCAAGGTCGCAGTTTCAGAAAAAAAAATAACTTTACGGTGTTTTGTTGATATGTTTATACAAGCATAAAGTTAACCTCCTCTCGTTCCTGAGAGGGTTTTAGGGCAAGGAAATTTCCGCCACGCTGCCTCAAACCTCACCTCAACCTCACCCTTTATTTTAAAAATTCTGCAAATAAAAACTTCAATAAATCTAAAAAATAATTCCAAGTAAATAATTTCGATTAGTGTATTGAAGTCACAATTAAAGTTTGGGTGCTCATACTGCATACATCTATGCAAATAAATAAAATTGAAGTGTCTCTTTGTAATTTTTAAATAACAGCTTTTTACTAAATGCATATGAAAGTATAAACGGTAATAATAATAAAAAGACAATTTTCAACATTTTTGTCTGTCTGTCTGTCTGTTTGTTCCGGCTAATCTTCGAAACGGCTGGACTGATTTTGACGGGACTTTCACTGGCGGATAGCTGATGTTACAAGGAGTAACTTAGGATACTTTTATTTTAAAAAAAGGATCAGGGCTCCGTGCAAAAAATTTAAAACCCTTGAAATCGTAGTAAATCCACGCGGGCGAAGTCGCGAGGGACAGCTAGTATTATATATATATATATATATATATTTTTTTTTTTCATTATTCTGTTCTTTGAGACCATTCCTTCCGAAGAAATAACTATACTCTGGGCAATCCGCCATAGTCATTCAAGCGACATCCATGTTTTCTTATTAATAATGTAAAGTCGTTACTGATGAATATTCATTTTATTGAAATAATTTAGAAGAGTTATCTTTCTTCAAAATACCTCTATATATAGCTATATATATATATATATATAATGTTTAAAATTTTATAAATCTTAAAAGAAATATATAACTTTATTATTATTCCATTTTATTTATTTAGGGTTCCGTACCTCAAAAGGAAAAAACGGAACCCTTATAGGATCATTTTGTTATCCGTCCGTCTGTCTGTCTGTCTGCCTGTCTGTCAAGACCCTTTTTCTCAGGAACGCGTGGAGGTATCAAGCTGAAATTCATATCAAATACTTAAGTCTACTGTCCTTTAGAACTGAGAAAAAATCAAACTTCTATGTCAACGCAATCAAAAGATACAGCCGTTTATGCCGTAAATTTTCGACATTCGCAAGGGAATCAAAACCTACAGGGTACTTCCCGAGAACTCAGAATCTTGAAATTTAGTACAAAGTAACGTTTTATAGCACAGATAAAATAAAAATTGCGAAAAGCATAAATTTTTAGTTACATCAAATAATAAAAATACTTTTAATAATTTTAAACTTATATACCTACAGATTTGTTCGGAATGCTCGGTGCGCGAGTAGGGCATCGAGAACCGGTCCCTTTCCCGGAACCGGTTCTTTCGGTTCTAAAATTTTGCCGGAACCGGGTACCCGGTTCTTTCGGTTCTTTTCTTTCTTTTAGGTTGGAGGCTATTTCGTTCAATGTGAATAACGATAATAATATTCATAAAGAAAATAGTTTATTGCAAATCGTGGGTTAAAGTAGTTATTCAAGTAATAATTGCAATAGTTTCTTTCTAATTAAATATAATCAAACATCTCACTAAATAGGAACATTCATTTTACAATTGCACGATGCACGTTAACAGTTATTTCACATTACTTACATAAAAATAGTTTGAAAGATTCTATTCTATTATAACATTACAATATTCCATCATAGAATATACTTTACGGACTGTTATTATAACAAAACATAAATCAGCTCACTTATGAAAAAAATAGTTTTAATTAAACATTACTTCTTAATTTTACTTAAATAAAAAAAACCTACAAAAATTAATGCCTGCAAATTTTTATCACTGAAAGACGAGCGCAGCCTATTGCAGACGAAGACAATATTCGCTCTGGCTCTACACTGGTGGGCGAAATAGTTTTTAAATGTTCATAACCTATCGATAAGTAGTACCCGTTGTCTTTGCCCATCATTTTCAAATACAGCCATTTCAACTCAATTATAATTTCAATCAATTTAAGTCATTTTCTTGATCTGTCAATTCAGTAGCAGTATTAACAGCCTTAGACAGCTCTCTATTAAAATCCTTTTCATTTGTTAGGGGGATTCATGTAATTCAACTTCCTGCAGATTTTGACTTCCAATTGCTGTTTATTCAAGTGATACTTTTTGTCTAGCTTTCGTGCGATTTTGTTTATAAAATGAGGATGACAAGCGAGCACACAGTGCACCTCATGGTAAGGGGTTGCTGTAGCCCATAGACATCTACATCTATCCTCGATGACGAATCAAAATGCAGATGCGTTGTCACACGTGAGGACTAAGATTGAATGCCTCGTTTCCAGTAACAAGGGGATCCGGTTTTCTACACTCACCATACGCAGCAGCGTATTCTGTGAGAGCGTGGTCCTACCCCTTTCGAGCCAACCCATTCGTGCTATACTATACCAGTAATATAGCAGCAGCATGGCTATACCACGTAAAAATTTTCAATTCCGTGTAACATTTCATCATTTGTAGACCGAAAAAGATAGTTGCATCGTCCATACTGGCAAAATGACTGTCAGGGTTGGTTAAGTATCGCAATATTGATGCTTGCATGTTTTTTATATTGTTTTCGCAATGCAGTGACCATTTTATTACTAAGATAAGTATTACTTTGAACGAATTTTTTTATAGCAAAATTTAAAGAAACATCGGCTGTAATCAATGTTGTATCGCGACGGAATAGAGCTTCTACGATAGTTTTAATAACATCCAATATCTTATTTAACTCTTCTATGTTTGTCCAGTCTTCCTGAGTAAATACCTACAATATCAGATTTGAAATCAATTAATGCTTTTGAGATCGTTTTTAAATTCAGAAATCGGCTTAACTTCGCGACTATGCTGCTCCAGCGTGTATTTACATCTAAAACCAAACAATATTCTTGTCCAAAATCAGCTATGATATGCTTTTGAAGAATTTCGTCACTTTTAGTGGGGGAAGCCTTGAAAATTTTTACCATATTATTACAAATCCTACTGTTTGCTGTATAAATAGAAGAAATGATTAATAATCACGTTTTTTATAACACTACATTGCAGTGATATACTTACTTTTTAAAAAACTTTGTAAAGGAACCGAAAGAACCGGGTTTTAAATTTTTGGAACCGGTTCTTTTCGTGACCCCTGAAACCGGGAATTCCCGGTTCTTTTGGAACCGGGAAAAACCGGTTCCGATGCCTTATGCGCGAGTCCGACTCGCACTTTGCCGGTTTTTATTTTATTGAAGGCACAGTCCTTCACACAGAAATTTGTTAAATTCAGTAAAAGTAGCATGCTGGTATAATATATCATTTTCATTTTTGTTTTGTTAACTGGGGGTTTAGAAAATCTTGACATTACAAAATTAAATTTACCTGCGTGTTTATATTTTACCTGATGTTTTTGTTTTGGAGCATATAAATTTACACACATTTTAAATTACAAATAATACGATTTCACTTAATGCAAGTTCTCTTTCCGAATACGATATAAGGAGGAACCCTGACCCTAACAAAAGCAATTTTATTGCTAGTAGTAAAGCTACAGCCTATAAAATATGGTAAAGACTTTCTGAACACAGGTCTTTTCTCATTTCTGAGAATGTGCATGTTGGCGTATTTCACATGTCCTCGAAATATTTAGTTCTTTTGTACGTGGTAGACACGCTACAGCTATATTATGGTTGTAGTACGAATGTGTCGACTCGACCGGGGTAGGAGCACGCTCTCAAAGAATACCCGCGTAAAATAGCTACTTTATGCTGATGTGTTTCGTATGGTGAGTGTAAAGAACCGGACACCCAATTTACTGGAAACGAGACATTTCATCTTAGTCCTCAGGCGTGACAACGCATCTGCATTTTGATTCTTAATCCAGGTTAAATGTAGATGTCCATGGGTCACAGCATCCACTTACCATCAGGTGGACTGTGTCGTTGTTGTGACTCGTTTGTCACCCTTGTCCAATAAAAAAAAATTGCAGATGATTTACTGCTTTTTCCTTCACCGACTAATAGATAATAACAACATGATAATGGCTCTGATCAATATTATAATAGTTGGAATTAAACACATCATTTCCTTCAACATTTTTCATAATATGAATGGTTGTTCTAGTCTGTTTTCGTATTTCTTTTTTTAATAGTGAAGTGACAAAGGAACTTACAGCCTACCTGACAGTATTTGGCATTCTATGAACACCTGCAGCTAACTTAAAACAAAGAAAGCTATAGATTCTAATTTCGTACGTTAAGTTTTATGACGTAAATTAGGGCATCGTCGCAGACTCTTTCTAAGTACACAAACTCCTTCAATAATAAAAGGCTTTAACCTACTTCATAATAAATTTACAACTTGTGATTATATTTAAGTATAAGACATTATTTTCATACTCACTACATCAGTTTTATGATCCTATTTTTGATTAATTTTTTTTTTCTACATTATTGTAATTATAATTTCCTGTGTTTTGTACATCAGTTCCATGAGCATATACAGTAATCTATGTCTACAAGTTATTATAATACAAAGACGTATAATAGCAGTACAAAAAATAAAAACAAAAAGTTGAGCGCGTCTGCCCGCGCAACGTTTTGCGCGACCTCTGCGCACGCGACGGTCAGCAATCGATCGCGAGACGCCGGTGTTGAGTGACGCGCTAATTCCGTTTCCGATGTTACATTTTTATAAAGACGGTTTATCGAATTTAATAAATTTTTATTACAATTAAGTTTTTGGATATTCTCGTACGTACATATTTTCACTGTTTTCGTGAGAATAAAATGGTGTATTTAGAGATGTGCAATGAGTTTGTAATCTAATAAACCGTTATTATAACAAATTAGTGATTATTTATATAGAAACAATGTGGTTTTTGTGTTTTTTATTTATACCGGCGTATGCCCACGATATTGGAATCCCACAGAATTTTACCAGGTGTGTTTGTTTATAAACATTATTTTCATATTTAAAATTTTCAATGACGGTAATGATAAAATGTATTATTATAATATGCAACTAAAATGTATACAATAAAAGTAGGTACCTAATTCTTTAATGGTTTAAAAATAATATTTTTGTAGAGATGATGATCTCACATGAGAAGCCCCAGCTTTCAAATAAAAAAAGACACATTGAAATCGGTTCACCCAGAAAAAGTTATGAGGAAACACAAATTAAAAAAAACACACAGTCGAATTGAGTACCCCCTCCTTTTTGGTCTTATTATATTAAGCAATATAATATCGTGTTTAGTCAGATTTTACCGGTGGACTACTTTTTACCGCTATATTTTAACTGTAGTCCACTCTATTGTAACAACTCATACGGATGATAATTTAATTTGATTTATATGATTTTAAATTCGATATTTGTACAGTGAGTACGTTAATAAATAGTTTCTCAGTGTAATCAGTTCTAATAATATGGCAACCTAAAGTTCCATTCCCGGCGGGAAACAAACGCATGGAACGTATTATTCGCTAAGTAAATATAAGATGATTCGTCGGAATCACACAAAATGCATACAAGTATCTAGATACAACATACAGAAAGTAACGAGTTATAAGAGAATCGTAGGTAATAGGTAGGTACTAAGCGCTCGCTGTAAAATTACAGTTTGCAAGCAACCCGTGTTTGACTTCGCCGGTAGTAAGGAAATTGTTAATTGCTATTTTAAGGAAAATGTTGTGAGGGAACCCGCATTACTCAGCAAAAAAAAGAAGTATATTTTGAAGATATGCGAAGTATTCCTATACGCATTGGGGCACTTCCTTGTCCTAACCTTCTCTGTAACACGACGTATAGGTATATAGACTGTAATTTTTCTGTTTTCAATAGACTTCAAAAAGGAGACTGTACTCAATTCGACTGTATGTTTCTTTTATGTGTGTTACCTCAAAACTTTTTTCTCGGTACACCGATTTCGATGATTCTTTTTTATTTGAAAGCTGGTGCTTCTCGTGTGCTCCCAAATAAATTTGATCAAGGTGTGACCAGTAGCTTTTGAGTTATCTTAATAATATAGATATTTTCAAAAGTTATCGTGTTTAACCCACCATGCGGACTTGATAAATTAACATCATAAGCCACTAAAACCACTTTTTTAAATAAAAATAGCAATTAATCGATTTGAAAAAAAATTAATAAGTTTAACAATAATTGTATCTTTCTGACAATGTGTTTTTTATGTAATTTATATGTACAATATAATTGTTAGATACGATTTCATGCGACAAAACGTTGGAATCTTAATTTTTAGGCGCTAGTAGAACATACCTACGCAATTCGCGCTTAAGGCATGCAAAATTGTTTATAACGAAACGCAAATATATCAAAAACTTTGGGTCAACATACCTGTATTAAATACCGCCAACTTCCTGACTCCTGGTTGCTACTGAATAGAATAGAATAGAATAGAATAGAATAATTTTTTATTCAATATCGATTATTACATAATTCTTATTGAAAGTCATTTTTTATCTACCACTGGTTCGGAAAATACCTCTGTCCTGGGAAGATCCCGCAAGAAACTCAGCGGGACTTTTTTTTGACTGAATTTCTCAACAGAAAAACTCAATAAATAATATTTCTTGGCCCGACTCCGGATTCGAACCCGGGACCTTAATGATCAGCGGCTGTATTAAATCTAGATCGCGCACGTTAGCTGTAGCATCACACTCAAGAAGCTGCCATCTCCATCACTTCTACATATCTGACCTGGCAAGTTTTAAGTGTCCATTCCGGTTATAAGCTCAAATTCATAAATGCGCAGAAAAATATGTAAACATAGTTTGTGTATGTTACTAACAATAAGATCGTTGGCCCGTCAATCGACATATTCTTGGAATTGACGTCTTGCTGTTTGTATTTTGTCGACTGGCTGCTACTCTAGTTACCCTGATAATTGAATCATTTGTTTGTTACGTTGTAGAACCATGATCAGCGATGCCTACTTTAGGGATTTTTCCATAGATCTACGGGATTTTGTTATAATCTATGGAACTACGGAATTTGAGGTTGAAATCTACGGATTTTTTAAATACTTAACAAGAAAACCATTTTTTATCATGAGTATGAACTTAGCCGAAAATGTCATACTCTCTCTCTCTCTCTTCTATGCTGTCTGTATTAAAAAAAAAACATTTTTGCTTGTAAATATCTAATGATGGCATCCACAACTTTTTCTGCCACCAGGGCGGCGCCACTTTACAGTGAGGTAAAATATTTGACAGATTTCATAACGGGGGACGATAATTTCTTAGGAAAATGTAATCTTTAAGGTTTCTTTCTGTATTATTAGTTACATTTTATATTAATTACTTTAGAAGTGAATAAACTAAACTATAAATACAACTAAAAGCCGATTTTTTTTATAAAGAGTTAAAAAGTGCAAAAAATTAAAAATCAAACCACTGACGCATTGTGTTTTATGTTAATTTAATACTCTAGATAATGATAAACTATTATTTAAAACTAATTTCTCAATTAACTGACACTGTGTAACAAAAAACTTTACCTCAGTCACAACTAGCGACATCTGGTGAGTGGAAGATTATTAGCCCTCATTTTAGCGAGGTTAATCGATTTAATATTTTAATAGCGTAAGTAGATATTTTCCATTAAATTACGTTTATTTCAAATATCGAACACTTCTTAGAAAATAGGCAGTTAATATATTATAATATTTTCATAGATGATTAAATTGTCACTTATGTCTCAAATTTTTCTAAACCAGGCTGTTCCAATTGTTTTTTAAATTATTAAAAAAAAATTGCCGTATAAGTCTCGAATCGTCGAATTTATCAAAAGCTGTTACTTGTATAGTTTTTCTCTGTTTCATAAATTACCTAAGTCTGAAACACCATAATTTATCAAATAAACCAACAGAAACAAGAAAAAATTATCTATGTTAATTTTAGCGAAGAGGGTCCGTTGTTTTTCATTCGTCTAATTATTGCTTCAAAAATTTTCAGCATTAAGTTTGTAACGTAATTTTTTTTAGAATAACTATCCACAAATATTTAAGTGTTAATTATTTTATTTGGTTTTTATGTTATCCTACATTATATTATATTGATTTTAAAACCAGCCAGATACAAACAGCACAACCAAAAAGATTTTTCTTAAATTTTATACAAACAAAATACGAGAACTTTTCCTCCGACCTTTAATATTATTATATATGTACACCATTCCATCTATTAATGCTTATAAAAGTCCACAGCTGAACATAAGCCTCCCCTTAGGTTTTTTTAAAATTATTATAAGCCAGTGCTTGACCACAATCCTACCTGGTGGTAAGTGGTGATGCAGCAGTAGATGGTAAATCGCACTAGATTGTCTCATAATGATGATTTTGCCATAATGATGGCAACCACGACTTTTTCTGCCACTAGGGCGCCGCCACTAGAAAGTGAAGTATAATATTTGACAGATTTCATAGCGGTCAAGTTAATTTGTTCGGAAAATGTAAATGTTTCTTTCTGTACTATTGGTTATGTTTTATATTAATAACATTAAAAGTAAATAAACCAAACCACAGATATTGATAAAAGTAGAAAAATTTAAAAAAAATGTGCAAATTAAATAAAATATGCAAAAAATTAACGAGCAAACCACTGACGCATTCTTATGTGTATTGATACTCTACAAAATTCTCTCTACAAACTGATATACGGCTACAAACTGATAACGGCTCGAACCGGGGTAGTACCATGACCTCACAGAAAACCAGCGTGAAGTAGAGGTTTATCTCTGCGTTTCGCTTGGTGAGTGCAGGTGGCCGGAGGCCCTTTTTACTGGAAATGAGGCATTCCATCTTAGTCCTCACGGGTGACAACGCATCTACATTTTGATTTGTATCAGAGGATAGATGTAGATGTCTATGGGCCGCAGCAACCACTTACCATCAGGTGGACTGTGTGCTCGTTTGTCACCCATATCCTATAAAAAAAAAAAATACTTTTATTAAAAACCAACTTATCAATTAAATTACATTGTGTAACAAAAAACTTTACCTCATTGTCAACTAGCGACATCTGGTGAGCAGAAAATTATTAACCCTCAATGACACGCTTGGCGACCGGGTTATCTTGAGATGTTATCAGGAAGATGCTGCTGCCCGTCTCCTGTATGAATTTCCCTCTGTTGCCTCTTACGACAACCACGGAAAGATATGGGATGGTAGATATTTTAACGCCGCCATTATTACATAATATTAATAGTTTTTCTATGTCAGCAGCAGTCCGTGCACAGACAAGAACCACCTCTTCCTGGCTCCGGGTGTCCTAACCGCTGGTGGCATCAATCGGGCGTGCATCTCCAGGTTCTACCCCGAGGGTCCAGCGCGTATGGTCATCACGCTCCTAGCAGACAATGGAGAGTCAACGACCGCGGCCAGAGATCTGCTTCCTGGTACAAACAGTTACATTTTAAGGCCAAAGAAATTACTAAAGTGTATTAGAACGAAATTAAATTACAAAAATTAGGTTCTAGGGTTCTAACCTCATTTTATTAGATTTTTTAAATTATAATCAGCTCAGATGGCTGTTCATTTATCCATTTTGTACCTTCCTTACGATATAAGTGACAAACGCACTTAGAGCTCACTTGATGGTTAGTGCCTACTGCAGTCTACAGACATCTGCAGGCAACTTCAAACAATGAAAACTACAGATGCATATGTTCGCTTGTCACTTCAGTTTGGTTAAAAAGCCTGCTTAGCCTATTATAGAAACAGCGCCCTACGAAACCCGTTTAGACAGAGTTTTTACAATTTATAAGTTGAATTTTTAGGTAGAAAAGTTGTTCTGTCACCTATACCTTGTTCATTTTAGCATGAGATTTTATGTAAACAACTTCTACCCGCAATAAGCTCGCACTTAATTTATTATATTATGTAAATTTGACAGTATTTCTGACTGAGTCAGACACAATGGTATTATCCGATACGAGGGTATATTTTGTCTGCTTTTCGTCTCAATCTTTGTTAAATTAAGTTATTTCGAATATCCTAATAAAATGTGGAGTGGCGGTGTATAAATATCCACTATCCTATGGTAGGATAGTGGATATTTATTATAAATTCTAAAAACTTATATAGGACAGGAAAGTTCTATTTGACTTGTCACTATTGTCTATAGAGGCAGAAAATTTTGAAAAAAGTGTTTGTGTGTCGCCAGTGGGAAGTTATACTTCTTTAGCGTTATAAAACAAAAAAAACTTGCGAGACAATTAGCCACAGAAGTTCTTTAGCGTTATAAAACAAAAAAAAACTTGCGAGACAATTACCCACAGAAGTTCTTTAGCGTTATAAACCAAAAAATAACTTGCGAGACAATTACCCACAGAAGTTCTTTAGCGTTATAAAACAAAAAAAACTTGCGAGACAATTACCCACTGAAGTTGTCGCTTTTAGATGTCAGTGTGCGAGCGCATCGTAACAACTTCATGGTGTCGTTTTTAGACGTCGGTGTGCGCTCGTATCGTAAAAATTCACTCTCATCATTTTTCCCAAACGCTCCATAAGAAGTATAACTTCAAAACTTAAATCGTCGTCGGCTATGAATGATATGATATAATAAATAAGTTCGCCGAACAAAAGACAAGAAAAGTGTATATTTGTTTTGATTTGTTTGGCTACTTTAGTTCCTAGGAGTATTAATTGTAAGTAATAGCGTATAATCAATATACTATAATTATTTAATTCAATGCGAGCCTTTTTGTTTCTTTTGTGAAAATCTTGACCATTCATTTGGGCCCCCCAATAAATTTTGATATAGAACCCGTCTAAGGCACGCTACGCCACTGATCCTATCGTCCCGCGAGTGTCGTAGGAGGCAACAGAGAGTAACAAACCAGGAGCTGGGCAGCGGCGTCTTCCTTATAACAACTAGGAAATAATAACAGTGGTTGTCAACCCGCTTGCCAAGCGGAGGCCTATGTTCAACAGTTGCGTTGATAAGGTGTAATGAATAAGAGAATATGACGTCATTATTCAACAGGTGACGGCGGCTGTCTCGACATATCCGTGCCGCTGCGACCCAACACCAAGGCCGATTTGATTGTCAACATGCGGTATGTAATGCAATAGCTGTAATTTTGCACGTGGTAGAGCCATGCTGCAGCTATATTAATAGTATAGTTGTAGCACGAATGGGTCGGCTCGACCGAGAAACGACCACGCTCTTACAGAATACCAGCGTAAAATAGCAGCTTAACACTGCTGTGTTTCGTATGGTGAGTATAGAGAACCAGAGCCCATTTTTACTGGAAATGAGGCATTCCATCTTAGTCCTCACGGGTGACAACGCATCTGCATTTTGATTCTTTATTGAGGATAGATGTAGATGTCTATAGGTCACATCAACCACTTACCATCAGGTGGACTGTGTGCTCGGTTGTCACCCTATCATATAAAAAAAAAATTAATGTATTAGCAACACATTATATATATTTAACTTTTAGCTTTCTGCATTCCTGGTCCTTATAAACTTTTACCTCAGCAAATTTCACACTAGTAAGCGCAAGGGGCACAAAGTTGTCTTCGTCACTTATTAATAATATACAAATTCCTTACAATTATTAAAGACGTTGTGATTTTAAATAAACAAATATATCTCTTCAATAAATAAACATGCCATTTACATAAGTTCAATGTCTTGCAATGTTGAACATCATTTAACTTTAACTCCGCGGTCATCTGTACGATAAAATTTATGATGTCCGCATGACTCAACGACAAATATAGTACTACTAAGTTACAAGTTCTAGATTGAGTACAGATTGTAAAATTTGTCTTTTTTTTTTGTAATGCGTATCACTTGTATTTTAGTAAGATTTTGTTATATTATATCTAAATACGAGTATGCGTAATTGTACAACCAGTGCGTGTTGCCAGTGATGACTTACGGATCTGAGACGTGGTCCTTCACTGCTGGCCGTAACAGGAAGTTCAAAGTCGCTCAACGAGCTATGGAGAGGGTTATGCTCGGGGTTTCTCTGCGTGATAAACTTAGAAATGAGGATATCCGCAGTAGAACCAGAGTAACCGACATAGCCCAACCATAGCCGGGCATAAAGCTCGAAGAACCGACAACCGATGGGGAAGAAAGGTTCTCGAGTGGCAGCCTCGTACCGGTAGGCGAAGTGTAGGGCGTCTCCGCACTAGATGGAGTGACGGCCTGGTAAGACATGCAGGAAGTCGATGGATGCAGGTGGCTCAGGACCGTGCTTTGTGAAAATTGGAGCCTATAGCCTATAGGGCCTATGTTCAGCAGTGGACTTATGAAAGGATGTAATGATGATGATAATGATGACGGGTTTGCGTTCCTTTTCTGATGCGTTTCATTAGATTTTTTTTTCAAATTATATTTAACAAAATAAAGCCAATTAATAGAATCAGGCGTTACTTTGCGGAAATCCATTATATTAAAGTTAGTACAAATTACCTCGCGTATAACCGCTGGATAAAATAAAATGATGTTTCTTACCTAGTTTGAAGAGCACCTCCCGCCTTCCCTAGTGGTGCAGGGATTAGTGGTGACGGGGCTAGTGCACGCAATTGAGGGAGGGCGGGAGGTGCTCTTCTTACTAGGTAAGACACATCATTTTATTTTAACTGGCGGATGTACACGAGGTAATTTTTACTAACTTTAAAATAAAACCAATCAAAATACAAGGGACGTGCGTGCAGTTTTAAATTAGACGATCTCTACTTGTCAAAAACAATTGCATGTGATCAAGTGTATTGTTTCATCGCTGCATTACGCACTGTGGATATATGGAACTCGTTACCTTCGTTGATCTTAAACTCTGCGATCTCTATAACTGAGGTCTCTTTAGAATGGTACCTCAATTAACAAATGAACTTACTGTCCACGTGATCGTGAGTGTCCATTGCAGTCTATAAGCACCTGCAGCCAAATTAAAAAAAATTGCTACAGATGCGTTGTCACCCCTAAGGACTAAGGAGGAACGTCTCATTCTGTAATTATAATGGCAATACATATTGCGTTGATCATACTTGCCTGTATTGTTATTTAATAGAATTTCATTGCTTATGTGTTTAGAGCCGTGAAAAATTTGAAGGTATTCGATTTATAACTAGCTCGTTTACTTCTTTAGAATATACAATATTGTTGTTTACATAACATTGAAATATATACAATATAAAAAACTAAAACTAGTAGATAAGTTAAATTATCATACAGTCCTACTCCCCGCAGTATCGTGCCAAGAACGCTTTCTGCGTTTCCTCGCTGAATAGCTATAACTATAATTATCCTTTGAGCGAGAAAAGAACCAGCCTTATTATCACCAGCAGCAACAACCAGTCGTGAAGAGAGGTCCCTTAGGAACTTCACCTCGTGTGCACTCCACGGACCGATAGTCTCTACAGCAAATGGCACAAATTTGTAGTTATCTCTCAGAGACTCATATTTGCGCCACTTACACAGTTCTGCCTCTGATGCCGCCCCGGCTCTAAACGAGGTACCCCTGAAATGAGAGGCCGCCAAAGTGTCCACGCAAGTAGCAGTAACTAAGGCTTTATCTCTCTCCCAAGCGACCAATGTCATTCCGTCGGGTCTCTTGCCATTGTCTCTAAATATTCTAAAACCGAGGGACATTTTGTACGTGGTAGTGCTATGCTGCAGCTATATTAATAGTTTAGTTGTAGCACGAATTGCTCGGCTCGACCGGGGAAGGACCACGCTCTCACAGAATACCAGCGTAAAATAGCAGCTTGACACTGCTGTGTTTCGTTTTTTTTTATAGGAGAGGAGGCAAACGAGCATGCGGCTCACCTGATGGTAAGTGACTACCGCCGCCCATGAACAACCGCAACACCAGGGGAATTGCAGATGCGTTGCCGGCCTTTTCAAAAGGAGTAGGCTCTTTTCTTGAAGGTCCCTAAGTCGTATCGATCCGGAAAAATCGCTGGTGGTAAACTATTCCACAAGGAAGTTGTGCGAGGAAGAGAACATCTTCTAAATCGCACAGTGGTGGACCGCCAATCATCCAGATGGTGTGGATAGTATCGGGAGTTCTGCCGCGATGTGCGTTCGTGAAATTTGGCGGCTGGGATTAATCCGAACAATTCCTCAGAGCACTCCCCATGGTAAATGCGAAAGAAAATGCAAAGAGATGCAACATCTCTTCGCAGTGCCAATGAGTCGAGCCGATCGGAAAGGACTCGGTCGTCGACGATTCGAGCCGCTCTGCGCTGGATGCGGTCAAGTGGAAGGATCTGGCACTGGGGAGCCCCAGCCCAGAGATGGGAACAGTATTCCATGTGAGGCCGAACCTGCACCTTGTAAAGTTGCAGGCGTTGAGCTGGCATGAAATACTGTCCCGCTCTGCTGAGCACGCCAAGCTTTTTAGAGGCCAATTTGGCCTTCTCTTCCAAGTGACCACGAAACTGCACGTCACTCGATATGTCGACGCCGAGGATTCCGATACTGGCTGAGGCAACAAGGGGAGTACCTTGAAACTGAGGAGATACGACAAAGGGGTTCTTTTTAGCGGTAAACGCGCAAACTTATGTCTTCTGAGGATGAAACTGGACTAGATTTAGTCGCCCCCAATCCGAAACTTTGTCCAGCAAAGACTCGACTTCAGACACAAGTTTGTTCCGGTACTCGGTGACGTTTTCCCGAGAAATATTGGCACGGCCGATGTATAGAGCATCACCAGTGCTGTCATCCGTATAGCAATGAATGCTACCGGCTTGCAACATATCATTGATATGCAGAAGAAACAGCGTTGGTGATAGCACGCAGCCTTGTGGAACACCAGCGTTAATAGGCTTGTAGTCGGAGCATGCACCGTCTACAACGACCTTGATGCTCCGATCTGCAAGAAAGCTGGTGATCCAATTGCATAATTTCTCGGGAAGCCCATAGGAAGGGAGCTTCGAAAGAAGCGCTTTGTGTCAAACCCGATCGAAGGCCTTCGCAATGTCCAAACTAACGGCCAATGCCTCCCCCTTGGACTCTACTGCCTCCGCCCATCTATGAGTTAAGAAGACCAGAAGATCACCAGCTGATCGACCCCGACGAAAACCGTACTGGCGGTCACTAACCAGCTGGTGATCCTCAAGGTACCGCATGAGATGGCAGTTTATAACGGATTCCATTATTTTTGAGAACAAGGGGGTGATGGCGATAGGCCTGTAGTTGGACTGGTCTGAGCGGTCGCCTTTTTTAGGGATCGGGTGGACAAAAGCCGTCTTCCATGATTTCGGGACTACGCCTAGGGAGTAGGAGTACCGGAAAAGACGCGTATGGTGGGTGTAGAGAACCGGAGACCCTTTTTACTGGATAAGAGGCATTCTATCTTAGTCATCACGAGTGACGACGCATCTGCATTTTGATTCTTTATTGAGGATAAATGTAGATGTTTATGGTATGTCACAGTAACCACTTACCATCAGGTGGACTGTGTGCTCGTTTGTCACCCTTATCCTATAAAAAAATTTATAGACACAAGAACTCACTCCTTTTAAGGGCTTTTCAATTCAATATCAGCTCAGATCAGGGTTATTTGCATCCTATTGTTCATTAGGGAACATGAATAAAATAGGCGGGTTATTCGTCATCTCGCCCGACAAAAACTCGCCCGTTCGGGCGACTTGGCACCTTTCGAATTTACCTAATATTTCTGTCGTCAACTCGCACGCTCGTACAAAGTAGAGCCAGGAAAAAAAATTAAACTAAATTTTAAAAACGACTTCAAATAAAATGACATTGTATTAAATCTTACTCGCCCAACCATAAAAATGTGAGGTAACTTAGTACAGTCTCATACAAAAATCATTTTTAAAAACGTTTAATATATTATGGTTGGACTTTAATAAAACAAAATATTATTATATCATAATTTTAAATATATTTCACAGAGCAACATCTCAAAAGTATAAAAGCATGTTTCACCAAATAATAATCAAAGTAAAAAAAAATTAATTCGCGAATTCTACTTCCAACTCATTTGACGGAAAATCCGGCTCACAATTGTGTCTATCCTCCCGCTTGATAGAGTTATCAGTATTTATAGTAAGCTTTGCTTTGCATATAATT